GTCCTTTTCACAAAGTTACACATGTCCCACTCTTGCTTGCTCTTCTTTCTTCTGCCGTAGATTTCTTCTCCAAATCAAACACGATTTCATCATCTTAGTCCTGTTATCCATAATTTAAGACAACTGCTTTCAGTTAGTGGCGATGATAGCATGAAGCACCGCCACTTTCAACCAAAGTATTTTTGTTCAGCCAAGTGTCCCACGTTTTCCAAGGTCTTTCCTTCTGCAGATATTTCATTCACGTATAACTCCATATATATCATACATATATGGAAGTTATTTGCAGACCCACATTGCCCTTTTCCTTAGTAACCTCTCGTTTTGGACTTTCTAATTTAACCTTGGCTTTCATGGCATCATGGACCCAAGACTTCAGTAATCTTCTCATCATGGGTTGTATCTGATACAATATATATATATATATATATATATATATATATATATAGATAAGCCACTACCCACGTTCCTTTTCCTTCTAGGTAACTTCCCCACTTTTAGACTTTCCTGTTTGATCGTGGCTTCCATGACGGCATGGTCGCATGATTTTAGCGATTTCTTCAACGTGGGTTGTATTCCAGCATATATATATATATATATATATATATATATATATATATATATATATCACTCGCTTCCCTACTTGTTTGCAACTCGGTGTCTTGACCTAGCCAAACAGTTATTGAAATCTCCTACAATCTAGGAGATAATTCAGCCCACGTTCTCCTTCTTCTAGCTTTGGTCAACTTTAAGTCTTGCCACCTTCCTATTCTTTTAGTTTATTATGCATATCATTTAAAGTTGGTAAGTCCTATTAAGACTCACCACTTCCCCTTTTAATCAATAATTCCACATGGTAGAATTTAACTGGACCAATTATTCTTAGCCCTCATATGCAACCACATAATCTCAATAAACTGAATAGAATTTTACTAAGGTTATGATCTGGCATGGTAAGTTCCATTGGAACTCACCGCACACCCCCTCTTTATTGGTAGATCGTATTCAATCTTCCTTTAACAATTCCACCTCACATGTTCCTCTTTTAGATATTGAAAATACCAATCTAGTGTAGCAAGTTCATTGGAACTCGCCGCATGTCGTCTTTCCATTGGGCCGAAAATAATAGAGTAAACATATGCCCCCCAAATTCCATGCCGTGTGAAACAAATTGATGACAAGGCATACGATTTGAATTTCGCCATCATGACTCACTTAAATTTTAAGGTAATCAAAACTGGTTTATCAACTTCCATCACTTCAAACAGGTGACTCCTTGGTTCCTTCCATATCAATATCACTTACCGCCAATTTCAAAAGTGCTATATATTCCAAGAAAATCTCATTTATTTAAGGTTCATAACCAATCGTCTCTTTAAAATCCTATCACTTCTTTCTTTCAAATTTTGAAAACTTTCCAAACAACTCCCTAACAAGTCGTCCTTGGATTGGGCATTTAAAATAATCATGAAGAGTTTCTGCATATCACACGGCTGTCTCCTCAATTTCCTCCATGTCAATCTCACTTGCCGCCAATTTCAAAAGGGATTCCGTATCTCAATAGGAGTCTTATCCATTTATAGCAAAAACATCTTAATCCTCATTACTTTCCTTTGGAATTTTAAACTTTCCAACCACCAACCTTAAAAGCCTTTCCTCTTTTCTGATTCCTTCTCTGCCTATATATATGTGCATCTACTTCTATCCTTATCATCTAACGCCTAAAACCTTTTTCTCTCTTCCTCTTTCTTCTCCTCCAACCAAACCCTAAAGTAACAAACCCAACTTTTGTGGAATTCACGAGTCATGGCTCCTGCCAAAGTCAAGAAACCTTCCAAGCAAGTTCATCCCTTCCAGCTCCTTCAACTCAACCCAAACTAAAACCTAAAGCCCTAGTCATCAAGTTCAATTACTTTTGAAATCCTTGATGGGCTTCATCTTGAACCCTCGGTGTCCTTTAAAGATTCTTCAGTTGGGCTTGGACCAGCCTTTGCAGGTGTGGCCCCTTCCGAGTTGGCAGAGTTCTATCTTTCTGGTACGTCCCCTCTTCCCTTTGATTAAGAGTTCCTTCTTATTTCAAAGAAGGGAAAAAAAGTAAAGACCTGCTTCAGTATAAAGAATTAGCCACTATACCGCTCCTTTTGGACTTCTTGGGTGAGCCGTTTTTCCAAAGACGAAAAGATTTCCTCACAATGGAGAAGATAATGAATCTTTGACATTATCCAGATTAGTAAGGCCTCCATCATACTTGACCCAAATCTCCTCTTTTCAGCCCTTTTCTTTTGGTTCACAACTACGAATGCCCTCCACCTGAAATGTGGAATGATGTCTCCTACTCCAAGAGATATTTGTTGCATTACCGGCCTTAAACCCCATGGAGATGATGTTAGTGCCACTCTCTTCTTTGACCAATTCCCTTTTCCTACCAAAACTACTGGCAGTAAGAAATTCATTTCCTCCCACCTTCCTTTCATCAAGTATTACAAGAAAACTGGCAAGTCGAAGAGGACGAGCACATAGCTTTCCTGATCTGTTGGCTTTCTAGCTATTTGCTATGCGTTCTATCTAGCCAAGTTACCAAGGACTTTGTTCAGGTTGCCATATCCTTAGCCAGGAATGGAGATTTGGCAAAGGCTCCTCTCGTGCTCTCCTATCTGTATAGAGGTCTGAATGACCTCCTTGCTTCCAAATTCTCAAGATTCAAGACCCTTTCTAGTTATTCCAGATATGGCTTAAGGTATATTTCTAGTTATAACAATGCATTCACCTAAGTTGTCATTCATCAAACCATTCAATAAGTGCAAACCATATTTATCAAACCATTTAACTATAGCAATTAATATCTTACTAATAAGCGTTCACTAAACATAAAGCATCGGTGTAAGTCGTGGAATTGCTCTTGCAATCAAATTAATTACTATCCCAAGAAGCCCCATGCTTGTTAAACAAAAAATGTGTATCATCATGAACTAAAAACCTTGGATCCACATCGCAAGACTCCGCCCAAATCCATAACCTAAATTTTCCTTCTCTTCTTCACCTTCCATGCTCACTATTTGTTGAAATTATCGATAAAGAAATTTAGATTAAAAAAAAGAACTTTTTATCAATAAAGAGATTTATTCAATTTAAACTCAATCTGCGAACTTTTTATTATGAGAGAAGGACAATCATAAGAGATTGAAAAAAATGTAGCAACCAAACATCATGTTACATAGGGAATTTTTTTAATTTTATTTTAAGAGATTAGAAATTAGATATTCCTTAACACACTGTTCAATCAGGTTTCTACAATTTCTAGCTAGAACAAGTGAACTCCACGATTCTAAAAAAAATTATAAATCTAAAGTTACATTATATTCGTTTGGACACACTCATTTTCGATTATCCGTGTAGTGTTTGCAACAAAAAATAAAAATAAAGAGTAGTGGTACGAGGCCCAAAAATCGGACTAATAAATTGAACTTCATTTATATGGGAGGAGAATGACTCATAGTGAGGTGAAATTGGTTTAGTCCAAATGCTATTAATTACCTAAAAATAAATACTAATATATTAAATATTTTCTACTATCTGTTAGTTCATTTATTTAATTTTTTTGGTACCCAACATAAATTATTGATGAGACAAAACGTCTCATTCACATTCATTACGGGGTAGATTAAACGAAGAAGTCCAACTTTTTAGTCAAATTAAGGTATACATCAATTCGGTGGCTCTTGAAAAGTGAACCATGTGAGTGCCTTTTCATCTATGTATTTGATTCGAATTTTAATTCAATTTCGAAAATTAGCACACAAAAACCCACCCCCTTCCACAATCAATGTTCTTCTGGGGTACCCAACGGATAGCTAAATAGTTGAGTTCAAAACTCTCTCTATATATATACACATAACTCTACAAGTTCTTCATTGTCATCTTTTTAGCAGTTCTTAAATTTCATCTTTTCAGCAAGAGAGTCACAGCAGTGATGGATTCAATTTCAAAACTACGGAAGGATTCTAAGAGTGTGAAGGTGGAGGAAAATGAAGATAGAATAGCAACTTACCAAACATTCTTATCAAACATATCCTCTCTTTTCTTCCGACCAATGTTCTTCTAGGTAGCTAAATAGTTGAGTTCAAAACTCTATATACAGACGTATGCCGGGCGACTCAATTTAATTTAAGGTCTTAGGCAAAAAATAAAAAGTAGCCTTTTACTATTATATAATTTTTTAATTCTTTTAGATGGCGTGGTTAATCATTTATTGAATTTTCACCTAATTTTTTTTTATTATTCTTGTTGATGGTTTGGTTGTTCATTTATTGAATTTTCACCCATTCTATTTATTATTATTATTATTATTATTATTTGTTGTAACAATTTATCTATTGTCTTCACTTTTTAGTAGATATATTCAATCATATAAATAAAAGTGGTCACACAACTTACAAACAAAATATATAATTTTATAATAACAAAAATTAAAAAACTACAAAAATAATAATTTAAAGTAAAGAACAATAAAACCTAATTTAGAAAAATCTGATCTAATGCTCCAAAAAGTTATTCAAATAATTCTTCACGTGGAGTGAGAGAAGAAAAAGTATGTAAAAATTAAAAGGAATAAAAAGGAAGATAAAAATTTAAAGAGGAATATGGAAAGTTTTACAATTCCCATAACCATATATATTCAATAAAAATAAAAATTGAATTAGGGCTGCTGTAATTATAATGATAGAGGATAATAAAAAAAATGGAATGACGGGTAGTAGAAGAGGAAAAAAGAAAATTGAAATAAGTAATAGAAATTTATAATTTACTATTTTTTTAATTGGAATGAAATAAAAATTTTAGAAAGATTATTATATATGGAAGTAAAATATTTTGGGGGCTTTTTAATAGCTGAGGCCTTAGGCAACAGCCTAACTCAACTCCAGCCGGCCTGGACGTATAACTCTACAAGTTTTTCCCTGCAATTCATAAATTTCTTCTTTTCAGCAAGAAATATCACAGCAGAAATGGATCCAATTTATGAACTATCGAACGATCTTGAGAGAGTGAAAATGGAGGAAAATGAAGACAGAATTAGCAACTTACCAATCAGTCTTATCGAAGATATCCTCTCTTCTCTTCCAGCAAAGTATGCGGTGTCAACTAGTGTTTTATCAACCAAATGGAAGTATCTTTGGACTTCCATCACTAATCTCGACTTCGATGATCATGACACGCGAATGCGAATGCGACATCATGAAACGAGCTTCATAAATTTTGTCAACAGAGTTCTAATGCGTAATGTATTAGATTTGCAGAAATTCAGTCTGAGATGCACTCGGAATTATGATGATGTTTCACATCTTCATGCATGGATTTCTACCGCGCTATCACGTAATGTGCGTGAACTTCATATTTTCTACCATATGAAGGCCAACAATGGGTTGCCTCGTGAGCTTTATACTTGTACAAGTCTAGTGTTTCTTGAACTGTCTGGTGGAATTGTTGTCAATTTTCCTACTTTGGGGTGTCTACCGAGTCTTAAAATCCTCCATATTTATTCTATTCAATTTGTGGATGATGACTCAATTTATAGACTCTTTTCCAGCTGCCCTCTGCTTGAAGAATTGTTTATAACGAGTAATGGTTGGAAATATTATATTAGTGTTTTTAACATTTCTGCCCCAGCTCTTAAGAAATTAAGATATAAGCATTTCAGTGTTGGCATGTATAGGGCGCACAAGCTTGTGCTTAATACACCCAATCTTCAAGATCTTGAATATACAGACAATGTAGCAGAAGACTATCCAGTGAATACATTACATGCCCTTGTCAATGCCGACATTAATTTAAATACAACTCACAATTATGTTCCTGGTCGATCTGTGGAAGTACTTGTTGCTGAATTTCTTCAAGCAATATCTGAGGTTCAGTGTCCTGGTTTATTTGGCGATTCAATGAAGGTTAGCTCGATCTATTTTTCATGATTTCTTCTTCTTCGTCTTTATTTATATGTGCCCAAATATTCTTTCCAGACTTCAATTAATAATTTCTTTTCCTTTTTTTTTTTTCTTTCATGAAGATCTTTCAGTCATGCAGTGTTACCCTGCCAAAGTTTGAACATTTGACTCATTCGGAGCTTGCGGTTTCTCATGGTGTTGAATGGAAATTCGTTCTGGATTTTCTTGAAAGCTTGCCACAACTGGAATGCCTTGATATTTTTTGGGTAAAACACTATTTGTCTGGATTAATTCACTCTATGGAGAGTTGTCATGCTTAAGAACTTATTACACATGTAACACAACAAACAGAGATACGTACTTCTTCTATTCGATCAATTAGTTTGCGTTTGGTAACTACGTTTTGTAAGCAAAAGTAAAAGCTGTTTTACTATGCTGGATTTGTTGCAGCATAAATATATTCCATGTCCAACTCATTTTATGCAATTACATTTTTATTTTATTTTGGTTCAGCGGGGCTTTTCAAGGGAATCAAGTTATATTTATCTCTTTGCCTACAACAATCATATAAAAAAATAAAAATAAATTATTAATAAAAATAAATAAATAAATTATATGTATTCCTCTCTTTAACTAGATCATCCACCATGCAGACCATGGGACCTTGTCTTTATTCTAAAACTATATTAATTTATCAAAGACTCAAGACCGAGGTATCAAGGAACCAAGATTAATGCCAACCCACTATAGAAGTGTAATGGTATAATGCTCAATTAATTTTTTGTGTGTAATTGTAAACGTTACAAATAGTGTCTAATAAGAATTTTTGTCAATGTCAGTCAAAAATATAATCTCCCTCCTTCTGAAATGTTTAACTCAATAATTATCACATCGGTCAGATTTTTTCCCTAGATATCTTGAGAAGAGCTTTCTGGAAAAGCTAATTCTCTTCTAAAGACACGTACATCTTCATCCAAAGCAATCTTTTCAGCTGGTAAAGAAAATAGTGAAAGGTTTGTTTGATGCAGGGTTCATTCATTATATTTGTGGGGTTCATGAGATAACTGAATTTTTAGTATAATTTGAGTTTCAAGATTTAACAAGCTTCATGATAAATACCATGAATCTATTTTCAAGATATCGATCTTGAATTATGTGACTTAATTTGAAAAATAAAAAATTATAATTAAAATTAGGATTTTATTTTGCATCTTTGCATTGATAAAGCTAAGATTGTATACAGGAAAGAAATATATGATCAAAATTAAGGTTTCAGTTGGGATTGTGTGATAATAATAATAATAATAATAATAATAATAATCTCCTGTAAAAGCAGCAATAATATCTGTAAAAGCAGCAGCAAGGATAATTTTTTTTTTTTTTTAAAAAAAATTTGGCAAGAAATTCCCAAAATTGACACTCTCAGCAACCATCTACCATGTTTGGGCTTAGATTCTCTCTAGGCTTGTGTGAGCTTAGTTGGTCTATCTGGACTTGGCTGGGCTTAGCCTGTTTGGATTTCTTCATATGATCCATGTATCGGGCTTTCGGCCCTCCTTTTGTACAATTTACTTTTTCAAAGATAGACGGGCAGATAGATAGATAGATAGATAGATAGATAGATAGATATATATATATATATATATTTGCTTAACGAACCCAAAAAAAAGCCTTACCCTTGCTGCTTTTACATTTTCCATATAATATTTATCAGAAATTATTCAGCTTAATCCAAGCTGTGCAAGTAATAATACAATTAAGTGGGATTACTATGAATAATAAGAATATGAAACTAATAGACTTGTGATATAAATGATAATATCTATTCACAAGAATCACAAGTCTTTTAGTTTCATGATTCATTGCATGTTTTATATGTATATAGCTGATGCCCGCATTGCATGTTTTTATTACGGAGTATCAGATATTACCTATTCGTTATGTTTAAAATTTTATGTTTAATTTCAAGTTATAGTCTACTATCTTATCAGACCAAAGTGCTTATAAGACAATTAATGAATTAAGAATAGAGAAATGATAGGTCTTCCGATTTCAATTGCCAACTCATCTTCCGAATACAATGTGGTTGAAGTACAATGGAACTCTTAAAACAAAATCCTATAAACATCTTTTTCTTTTCGACTCATTCCCAACTACGTTATATTCGGTAAATGAGTCGTCAATTGAGGTTGGAAGACCTATCACTTTTCTTAAGAATAATAATAGAAAACCGTAACTTTTCCACCAAATTTGAAATCAAACATGACATGGTTTGGACACTCAATAAAATAACTTAAAAACAAGTATACCCTCCCTAAAAAAATAGATTCTCTCTATATATACATATAGCCCTTGCAATTATTGCTCCATATTACTTCCTCAGTTTTTTTATTTGTTTATATCTCTATCTATTCACTCTCTCTTCTATATTACCCATCTCAGCTGTAAATTTTTGGACAATAAAACTGTTTTGATTTTGGGTAAGAACTGTGTATGTCTCTCTAGATTCAGTCTATGTTCATATATATCATCCATCTCAGTCATAAGTTCCTTTTATCTCACGCTTTGATCAATCACTTCGTTTTTCTCAAACACTCTCTAAGTAGAAAAGGGGTTTAACCATGAATATATATACATAATACATACATATATAATTTGACGTGGAGTACTATTTTAAATAATCTGATGTGGCAACACCAATGTTAGGTTCGGTGCCTATTCAGTTTGGTTTACCTTGTTAGGATTTGTGTATCCTAACATAGCAAATTCTTTCTTGGATTATAAAAGTCATTATTCCTTATCTAAATATTATTATTAATGCATTATATAATTGATAAATATAATGTATTATTTTTTTGATTCATTATGGAATTGATTGTGTTTACTTGAATACAAGATATATATATATATATGATGACAATTAATATAGAGTTATAAATAGTAATTATAAATGGTTCAAAGTCGATATTTATGGATGGCCATTTAATTAAGTAAGACTTGAATCAAATCCACGATAGGTTGAGATATATTGCAAGTTAGAGTCATCGTATGCAATTGCTTTCTATCACTATCCGAGCATTTGACCCTCAAGCATAAGAGAAGTATAGACTCTTTTATTAATTAATAATTACTTTGATTTATTCGGCGAATAATTCGGGATCCAAAGACCAGCACTTTGGGTAGTTATATAATTGATAGTTAGAGAGTTATATTCTCAATATTTGCATCAGTACTATTTATATTTATTTTGTATTGATTATGGTTGATCACAAATTAAATTCGAAAGCCTTCGTATATTTTAGACAAAATGTTTTCTATGTATTAATTTCCTAAATTATTATTTTTGTCAAACAAATTTTTATTATGATCAAACCGGATATACTCAAAGATACTAAAATAAATATATTAATTATGTAATCAGATTAATGGCTTTATAATCAGATAAATAATTATGCATATAGGGGTAAAAATGCAACATTGACTTAGAAGTTATTTATTATTTAATTAGAGTTCAATTAATTTCTTTTAGTGGAGTAGAAATTAATTTATAAATTAATTGAATTGGGCACATGGTTTAATGGACCAGCCCAATTATTAATTTATAGTAACCAACAAAATATTAAGCCTAAGGAATTCTCAGCCATAGCCCAACTTGATATTAGAGGTCCATTAAATTTGAGATATCACGTTAATTTTAGAGATTGAGAAAAATATAGGAAAACGATATTCACATTTCACTTTTCTCCAATTGCACTTCATTTATCATTTTCTTTTAAAGGAAATGACAAGAAGGTCCTTAAATTCATTAATGCACAATTCCTTAATTTGTAATGTTATAACTACCTTTTATAAATCTTTAATATATTTTTTTTTTACCTTCTTTATTTTCTTTACTATTTTTTTTTCCTTTCTTTTTGTTTTTCTTCCGGAGGCCCTCTCAAAGAAAGTAATTTATTTCATAATAATAATTTTATTTTTGGCAGTCAAAATGGAGATAATTTATTCCATAATAACTTTTTTTTTTTTTTTTTTTTTTTACAATGGAAAGAGATATATATTCAACAAAATTAACTTTTTTTCAATTTTGTCAAAAGAGGAAACTTTATTTTTTGGTAATTTTGTATGGATCCGGTCAAAAGAAATAATTTATTCGATAAAAATAATGTTTTATTATTATTATTATTGGGTGTTGTCAAAAGAGATTATTTATTCAATAGAAAAAAAAAAAATTAATCATCTTCCTTTTGTACTTTTTACTATTATTTTTTTGGGGGTTTTTGACCACAGATATAATTTATTCAATAAATATATATTTTGGGATTTTTTTTTTTCGATGTCAAAAAGAGATAATTTTTTAAATGGTTACTTTTTATTTTTTTGATCCTGTCAAAAGAGGTAATTTATTAAATATAACAATATTTTATTTTTTTGTCCCTTAAAAAAAATTATTCACATTTTATTTTATTTTATTTGTATTGTCAAAAGATACTTAAAACATTAAAGATGAGAGATAAGAAGGGAAAATATAATAATTTATTTAAAAAATTATTATTATTTACTTATAAAGATCTCAAAATATATTGTCTTTAATATTTATTTTTATTTTGCCTATATATAAGTCCAATGTATATTTTATATTACACGTTTGTCAAGATAAAAAAATTTAGAGTTAGCTTTCTCATATAAAGGAGGCTACCATAAGCAAGTTCATTTTTATGAGTGATCGTTAAAGAAAGATTACTACCAAGAAGAAGGAGATCATAGGAGAAAGGATCTTGCTAAGCAATAAGTGAAAACATTCACTAGGTTTATTCAAACCTTTTCTGTAAGTTTTCAATGAATGTTTCATCATCTTATATTTTTTTTGCATAAAACTTGTCTGTGATGTATCAAGATCCATGTATGAAAATCACTCAAAAAGTTTTAAAACTTCAATTTTCCAAACATAACTATCATTACTCGTGAGTTAATACTGGATTCAATCTATTGCCCTCCAAAAAATAATAATAATAATACGAGTAATACTAAATGAAAAAACAATAATTTATTACATATTTCCTTCTACTTTTTGTCATCAATTTTCATCACTTTTCACATTCATTACCAGGTACATTAAAGAAACTTTTTAGCCAAATTAACGTGCTTGGAAAGTGCCTTTTCATGGACCTATGTCGTTCTAATTTTAATTCAATTACAACCAATGTTCTTCTGTGGTAGCTAAATAGTTGAGTTCAAAACTCTATATATATATATATAGACGTATATATAACTCTACAAGTTTTTCACTGCCATCTTTTTAGCAATTCATAAATTTCTTCTTTTCAGCAAGAAATATCCTACGCAGGAATGGATCCAATTTCCGAAAATGAAGACAGAATTAGCAACTTGCCGCGTTGCCTTATTGAACATATCCTCTCTTCTCTTCCATTAGAGTATGCGGTGAAAACTAGTGTTTTATCAACCAAATGGAGGTATCTTTGGACTTCCATCACCAATCTCAACTTCGATGATTGTGAAACGAGAAATGAAACGAGGTTCATAAATTTTGTCAACAGAGTTCTAATGCGTAATGTATCAGATTTGCAGAAATTCAGTCTGACATGTTATCAGGATTATGATGTTTCACATCTTAATGCATGGATTTGTACCGCGCTATCACGTAATGTGCGTGAACTTCATATTTATTACAATCACACACACAACAATGGGCTGCCTCGTGAGGTTTTTACTTGTACAAGTCTGGTGTTTCTCGAACTGTCTCGTGGAAATATTGTTGTCAATTTTACTACTGGAGTCTTAAAATTATCCATATTTATCAAATTCACTTTGCGGATGATGACTCATTTTATAGGCTCTTTTCCAGCTGCCCTCTGCTTGAAGAATTGTGTATAAAGAGTCATTGCCGCCGTTGGGAAAATAATATTAGTGTTTTTAACATTTCTGCACCATCTCTTAAGAAATTAAGCTTTGCGCATCACTGTGATGGCAAGTCCGCGGTGCACAAGTTTGTGCTCAATGCACCGAATCTTCAATATTTTGGATACCACGGCTATTTAGCAAAAGACTATTCAGTGAATACATTACATGCCCTTGTCAATGCCTACATTACTTTAAATCCAAGTCGCGACCATGGTCATGATCGATCTGTGGGAGTACTTGTTGCTGAATTTCTTCAAGCAATATCTAAGGTTCAGTGTCTTAGTTTATCGGACGGTTCAATGAAGGTTAGCTCGTTCTATTTTTCATGATTTCTTCTTCGTCGTCTTTATTTATATATGCCCAAATATTCTTTCTAGACTTCAATTAATAATTTCTTTTCCTTGGTTTTTTTCTTTCATGAAGACCTTTCAGTCATGCAGGCTTACCCTGCCAAAGTTTGAACATTTGACTCATTTGAATCTTGACGCTCAAGGTGCTGAATGGAAATTCATTCTGGATTTTCTTGAAAGCACGCCACAATTGGAATCCCTTTATATTTTGTGGGTAAAATACTATTCGTCTAGATTAATTCACTCTATACTTGTGCAATTCAATTTGACTTCCTTTTTTCTTTTATTATTATTTTTATTTTTATTATTTTCCTCGCATGTAGATCTATCAGTACTCTTGCTGGCTTCCTGTGCCAAAGTTGGAACATTTGAGTTATTTGGAGCTTTCTGTTTTCAATTATGTTGAATGGAAATTCGTTATGGATTTTCTTGCCAACTCGCCACAATTGGAAACTCTTATTTTTACGGTAACACTAACTGTTTTGATTAATTTATTTGTGTAATTAAATTTGATTGAGACTTTACTATTTATAATTCCTTATTTAATTAGGGTCCTCATGAGGATGAATTCTATGATGAAGAGAAAAATCGGGCTATGCGGCGTTGGTATCCACCTCAGAATGTGCCTTCTTGTCTGTTGTTTCACCTTCAAAAAATTGAAATGATGTCGTTTCGATAGGAGAGCGATGATCTGAAAATGGTGGAGTATTTGTTGAAGAATTCAGTAGTTTTGGAGAAACTGATCATTCTTGATTATCATGGGGAGGGAGAGATTTGCAAAAAGTTTTTGATGTTACCAAGGGGCTCCAAGATGTGTCAAGTCGAGGTTCCATTTTATCGTGTCGCCTTGTTTGAAGAATTTCTTAGTACCACTTTTGCTACTTGTGAATGTCTTTTTCTCTTTTAAGAGCACTAGAGAAGTACTTCTTCTATTCAGTCTATTTAGTAAACTATGTTTTATAAGCAAAAGTAAAAGCTGTTTTACTATGCTGGAGTAGTTGCAGCATAACTTCCATGTCCAACTCATTTTATGCAATTACATTTTTATTTATTTGCGTAACCTTGGTTCAGAGGGGATTTTCAAGGGAATCAAGTTATATTTATCTCCTTGCCTACAAAAATCATATATAAATTTTTTTTAATAATAATAAAAATAAATAAATAAATCATATATATTCCTCTCTTTAACTAGATCCATCCAATCAATGGGCAAGTGATCTAACAGTATCAAATCATTACATCCTCGGAGGCATGTGTGTGTGACTGTGTGAGTACCAATTAATTAAAAAAAAAAAAAAAGAACAAACAAACAAACTAGATCATCCACTATGCATACCATGAAGCCTTCTCTTTATTCTAAAAGAATATTAATTTATCAAAGACTCGAAACCAAGGTATCAAGGACCAAGATTAATACCAACCCACTATAGAAGAGTAATGGTACATTGCTCGATTGATTTTTTGTGTGATTGTAATAGTTATAGATAGTGTCCAATAAAATTTTTTGTCAATGTCAAATAAAAATATAATATCTCCTCTTCTGAAGTGTTTAACTAAATAATTGTCACAGTTGATGGATTAAAAAACAAAAAAAAAAAAGAAAAAAAGAAGAAGAAGAAGACTAGACATGGTAAAAACGTTGCGGTTGTTGATTGGTCAAATTGAAAAGTGGGCCAAGTAAAATTTGATAAACAAAGAAGGCACAAGAATAAATAAAATAGAATATTTGTTTTAAGGGAATTTCTCTAGTTAGGTTGATTATATTATTATTATTTTTTTTTTAATCTTTGCAACAAATTCACAAACTCGATCACTTTATTCTCTCCTCCTTCTAGAAGGTAAAAAAATACCACTAAACTATCAAGCTGGTGCTTGGTTGATTATAGTCAAATTGACACTTACGCAAGTGCTTGGTTGATTAATTTGAGAATCTTCAAGAGGATTTCTAATTCCCAACATTCACCCTTGTTGAAGATATGGAATTCAATACGGGACAAACTCAAATTCATCTCCTTCAAGAATTGTCCGGCTGCCCAGCCAGCGTACTCGTCCTGCTTGGGACCTTCCACCGTCAGTTATCCGTCCACCGCCTCGACCACCGGACGACTATAGGATGGCCTCTCCCAAGTGGTGAGGCTGTATCAACCATCACAAATGGTTCAGTGGCCTATTATTGGCGTGTTGGGCTTAGATTCTCCCTAGGCTTGTGTGGCTTAGTTGGTCCATCTAGACTTAGTTGGGCTTAGCCTGTTTGGATTTCTTCGCATGATCCGTGTTTGAGAAAATATCAGTTTGCACGTTGATATTATCCCAAAATATCTTGTTCTCTCAATTACAGGGAGAGGAAGGCTTGTAAATTATAAAAAAAAAAATTTTGTATTTTGTGATGTTTGATTGTCATAAAATATTTACGAAGAAAAAAAAATATTAAAATCTAACGAAAATAACTTATTCATTAATTTTCAACAAGTTATTTTACACACTCCCACCGGATGGACTCGACTTTAACATCAACCTAAACCTACACCTTTGCAAAATACTGAAAATATATATATTTTTTAGCTGAAAGAAGAAAATATTTTCGAAAAAAAAAAAAAAAATTATGTCAAAACAATTAAACTGAACCGTAATGTACTTTGTTGTTCATCAAAACAATATTATTCTTACACGCTAATTAAATGCATTGTATTTGTGTTTCATTAATCTAACTTATTTATAATTCAATTAGATCTATTTAACTAAACATATCAAAATGACGTGTTCGAAATAATCTTAATAATATAAAATTTCATATAAATGTAACTCTTTTTTTTTTTGGTAAAAAAAATAATAAATAAATAAAATTGTCTTTTTTTGCGATGGTGAATCTTCCTTAACACCAACCCGTGATGGAGAGTGGAGAGTGATATAATAAGCCTTTGATGGACAAATAAACCTTTTTTGCAAAGGAAGATGATGTGGTTTATTGAATCGTATCTGGTTTATTGGTTTCAGCTTACTAATCAATTAGTAGTAGTAGGTAGGAGATCATTTTCAGTGCACTACTTGATGCGTTGTGTCTTTTATTTTATTGAATCATATGTAGTTTATTGGTGGCTAAATAGTTGGACAAAGTTGTATTTTACTGATTTTGTTTAGTGCATGAATGACAGAATTGTGTCCCTTTTAGTTTGTTGTTGGCTAAAAAATTTGGACAAAATTTATTACTTTAAGTTAAAATATCATCAATTTCGTTATTCTATTATTTTCCGCGTTCAAGTGACACGGTTGTATTATTTTAAGATTAAATTTTCAATTGCAAGTTAATAATTCGAGTTTAAATGACATGTGTTATTTGTTAATAATTATATATATATATATAAATAAAGATATATATATCTGAAATTTTTACCTTGTAATTACAATGCCAAAAGTGTTGTGGTTGAAAGAACTCACTTTGTAATAAACAAATATAAAAAATGATAATTGGATAATTTATGCCAAAAGGGGATACTTTAAGATGTATGTTTGTAGAATATAAGAGGGATTCTAAAATTTTTAAATAGGAAATGAAAAAAAAAAAATAAGGAATTTTAAATTCTTGCAGAATAGTTGCAATAAATTATTAAACTTACTCTTTTAATTGGTCAATTATATAACAAATAAGGAAGTGGAGCCATCCACTTAGTTGTATTTAATATAAATAGCCAATTAAAAATTATTCGATTAGGCAATTCACTGCAAGTGTTTAAATTTAACCGATAAGAAGTTGGATAATAAGCATTATTAAAAAAATTAAAAATTTGGATATATGTCTAAATTGTATTTGGCCACATCAGTCTTCATCCTCCTAAGGGAGGATCCTAGTATTGCCTATCTGAAAATCACACGTGTCATCACACATTCACTTACCTTACTAAAGAATTGTTTTTATTATTACGGAGCGTGTCTAACATTTAGACATCATCAATCTTCAATTTCGTTCACTGAGACTGAAAAATAAACCGGAAGTTTACAACTCATAGAATTGTTGTCACTTGGGATTTGCATTATGATATTATTACCAAAATATCCGGATGCTCTCGAGAGAAAGTGATGTATATTTTGTTACGAGGAATGCTAATCACAATCGCGCCGCGACTGTACGTAAAATTTCAGTCGCTAATTGAGGGATTGACGCGTGTGTTTTTTTTTTTAATAATTAATTACTATTTTTCTACTAACTTCCTTTTGGATCTCTCATTATATATAATTACTATACTAGCCTCTTAATTAAGAAATTTCATAAACTTTCACGGTTCCGTCTCACTTTAAAATTTTATTTTTTACAAAATTCTAATAATTAATTACTATTTTTATACTAACTTCCTTTTGGGTCTCTTATTATATATAATTACTATACTAGCCTCCAAAAACCAGTAAAAAAGTACTATAATTTGGTTCTCTCTAAAATTATCTGATTTTTTCAAATCCATATTCTCTGTTTTTAAGTATTCGGTTATTTTTCAAATAAAAAAAAAATCAGATGAAAAAAAAAGAAAAGAAAGTATAATCTAAAAAAAATTATAGTACTTTTTTCTTTTTATTTTATGATATTTTTTTTTTTTAATCTGAAAAATCGGAGCAATACTTCGAATATAAAGAATATGAATCTAAAAAAAATTCAGATTTGAACTTCAAACATTAAGATATGGACTTTTGTATAAAGAAAATTTTAGTGTTGGAACTTCAAACATTTAGATATGGAATTTTGTAAAAAATAAAATTTTAAAGTGAGATGGAACCGTGAAAGTTTCAGATTAAAAAAAATAAAAAATAAAAATCAGTTAAAAAAGTACTATAAGATCCTTGTTCTCTATTTCGCAGAGAATAAAAAATAAAAAATAAAATAAAAGTATAATCTGAAAAAAAAAATTTATAGTACTTTTTTCTTTTTATTTTATATTTTTAATCTGAAAAATCAGAGCAATACTTCGAATACAAATAATACAGATCTAAAAAAATTCAAATTTAAACTTCAAACATTTAGATATGTAGTTTTGTAAAAAAAAAAATTTTAGCGTTGGAACTTCAAATATTTAGATATAAGATTTTGTAAAAAATAAAATTTTAAAGAGATGTAATCGTGAAGGTTTATGAAGTTTCTTAATTAAAAGTTAGTATAGTAATTATATATAATGAGAGACCTAAAAAGAAGTTAACAGAAAAATAATAATTAATTATTAGAAAAGAAAACACACGCTTTTATCCCTTAACTAACGACTCAGATTCTTCGGTCGCGGAAGTAATTGTGATTAGCAGCATCCCTCTTTTGTTATTCATCAAAATAATATTATTTCGTTTGCACGTGTTACGATTCAGGTCGTAATCATGTTGACTCATAAACTAAAACATCAATTAAATACATCTCGTTTGTGTTTGATTGGTCAACTCATATTTGAAATGACTTGTATAGTGTTAAAAAAAAAAAAAAAAAAAAAAAAAAAAAAAACCTAATGTCTTTTGGCAATGCAATGTTCACACCAACCCGTGATCGAGACACTGAGAGTGATATATAGGTCTTTCATGTACAAATTAACCCTTTTTACAATGTTAGATAATGTGAGAAAAAGATATTAAGTAGTAGGTAGGAGATCATTTTCACAGCACTACGTTATTTAGTGTGCTACTGTGCTGTCAGATGATGTGTTTGTCTCTTAT